TAATAGCAATAAATAAACAATATATATTCAGAAAATATACATTCTATAAAACGCTGCTTACAATAAATTTTCTCGATTTATGTAAGTTTTCCTATTTTTAATATCAATAAATAATTATTATCTTTAGTAAGAAGATATAAATTGCTGCGCTCAGTAACACTATGTATTTGTTGAAAACATTAAAATTTATTTTACTGATATTATATAAAATACTATTTATAAATATTTTATTCGATTTATGTATCTTTTGCAATTTAAAAAAAAATATTTTTTTACATGTGGCTCTTTACAAAATATAAAAAAAAACGAATTGCGACCTCTTTGGCCTCATGTGTGTCCACCCCTATTAAATACTCAGTTCAGTTGACGTACACAAATTGCCGTTAAGCAAATATACATTAATCAGATGGTGAATTTGCTATAAATGCAAGTATTTATGATTTGCTAGTGTTTTTCCTATGTTTGTTCACAAGTCACGTCTAATCCAGTGTTTCCCAACACAATTTGATTTTTAAGCGAGACAATTCGAAAATGGACACATTTAGAATTTAACCTTATGGCGTATTATGTGTATGTTACATAGGGGTATAAGAATTTTAGAAAGGTTTTGGTGAGGCATGACGCAAAATAATAATAATATCATAGATATGACCGGATTTGAAAATTATTTGCAGTTAATTGCAGTATTCTAAATAGAAACTTAAATTGTGATTATGTTAAAATACTCATAAAAATGCTAAATATATTTATTAAATACTTAATTCTATCAGACATATTTGTAGCACCAAAACTAAGAAAAAATAAATAAATAAATGACCTATGCGCTTTGCAACAAATATTTTTTTTATTTTATTATTATATTATATTAAGGTTTAATTTTGTTTTTTTTATTGTCGCTATAAATGTTATTATTATTACAAATAAAATAATTTAAAAGTTGCATTCATTCCGCTTATTTGGTATTTTATATTTTGAATGGGGGAATGGATTTAAAGGTTTATGGAGAGGGTTATTAGATAGTCGGATTTCATGAGAATGCGGGGATCTGAACGTTTGGATATTTGGAGGCTTTTCAAAGTAGGGTTTCTGCATTAGAAAAGGATGAGGAATCCGTACGTAAGCAATTTATACATGGACGTACAACATTTGTTATATATCTATAAGTTACGAAACATCAAGCAAACTAAATCACATGAACTGGATTTACTATTATCTATAGAATTATAGAGGTGGTGAACATAATTAATCGACTACAGAAGAAAATGAGTGCGCAAAATAGGTGTGATGTTATTGGCATACTGAAGGATATATAGGTTATGATGGAATGTGATTGACGTTGTACATGTAAGCACAATGAATTATGTAATAGGTGTCAGATCGAAGAACCTTGGGGAACCTCCTGTCCGCAGAGAAGGATTTGGAATAGGTGGAGCGGATCTCTACATCATCTATTAGAATGACTTTGAAAACATGATCGAAGGAAGTTAAAAAAAAAGAAAAACAAGAGAATATTTGAAATAAATGTATTTTAAAACTTCATACCGGCAAAATAGACTATTTTGTCAGTATTAAGTTTGGAAATTTGAAGTAAAGATTGTGAGAACAACGATTTTAGATTTTCTAAATATATTCAATAAACATATTCAATATAATAATTATAGAGAAGTAAATATCTTTATTTAAATTTGCTATTGACCAGTTCTAAATATAATTATTATTTAATGAAAACAATCGAAATTGTTAGTGCAATGCAAATGACAATATAAAAATAGTCACAATAAACAAAGTATGTGAATTCCAAAGAAATGCAAGTGTTGATAATTGAAATATTTGCTGATCCTATACTTATTATTTATTATTCTTATAAACTTTTTTTTATTAATAGTATACACAGCTAAAACAAACAATGAAAATTATGTATTAATATTTTGGATTAATGATCCGAAATATTAATAACAAACATGTTAAAAACGACGCAATTTCCTGGCAATACTGCAAATAATAACTTCTCTTCAAGTGCGCAAACAACATAAATGTAGCTGACTAAGTTCAAATATCATATTTAACAATGGAAACACTCTCAGCATAAATATTCATTTGAGAAACACGGAACATCTGTAAATAAAACTTCCACGTATTCCAAATATTTACATTATTTCATTTATATAATTTCTTATTTATAAATATATTTAACATTTTTTAATTTTCTAAACATAATATAAAACTACAAATTATTTACAATAATTAATTTCATTATTTTTCATATCATGATCTAATTTGTTCATTTTTTTTTGCTTTTACATTAAAACATTTCTACCATAATTTTCCTTCATCTAAAATTATGTTCATATCCTTCTAATTTGCCCATGTTAATCCATTTCTTGTTTAGTTTGTATTTAAAACAGCTTCTACTTAAAGTACAACAATACCTTGTGCGGCCAATATGCCGAACTATTTGAAACCGGGCTATAAAGTTGAAACAAAAAATGAATTATGTGTACAAGGATAATTTTGTGCCCTGATTATTTGGAATTATTTTGATTATATTTTATTGAATCAAAATTTAGTTTGTTTCAAAATTTTCAAATCGAAACTGATCGAAGTCGCACTATGCGCAGTATTGGAATATATTGCAGTATTGAGTACAACATTGATATATACATTTATCTTTAAATTATTTTTTTCGGATTTCGATTTGATTCATTTTCTTTTTAAATTTCAAATCTGAATCTGTTGTCTTCAAATACAAAAGTTCTTTCAATAACAAATATTTTCAGAAATTGTAATATTACATCAAATCCGCATTTCAAACTTAAAGTCACTTAAAATCACTTAAATATTAGATAGAAACTTTTATAATATAAGTATTTTTTTAAATTTATAATATTCAGATGACATTTTACCTAGTAAAATAAAATGATATATAAGCAGAAATCATGACTAGACAGACAGCAAGTAATATACGAGAACTTTAGCTTTTAAAGTTGGTTCTATACGGACATTGAAAGAGATATATCATCAAAGGAAATTACATTTTGCACTGAAATGCATAGGTTCATGCGATGAACAGTTTTGCACTATGGAGTGAGTAAAATTTCACTAACTAAAAATGTAATAATCTTTGCAATGATATTTTTACATTACAATATTCGATAAAAGCCTATTTAATCAAATTATATTTTTTGTAGATTCATCAGCTAATCTCATCATAAAATATATTTTCAATTTTATGATCATGGACATTTCTGATTTATCAAATGCAGCAATGCCTCACATAGTGTTGGTAATCGGTTCCGCACTGTTTTAAACCGGACTAATCGAGGACTTTCAAACTGCACAAAAATAGACTTGACCATATAGAAGAAGAAACAAAAACTGATAATTTAAGTATAATATTAACTTTGTAAACTAAACTCTTAGAATTTATTTTTATTTTGCTCAATTAAAATTTATTATACTAAATAATAAACCAATTTAAATTGAATAATAATTATAAAATTAATCTGATATAATTTTATTGTATTCCAGTCTTATATGTAAGTGATTTTAATTACATAATAAAGAAATATTACAGAAAATATCCTGATGTTGTGCTACTACATATTTAAAACGATATTAATAATTATGGTTATCTAGTTTGTTAGTATAGTAATTTTGGTGCAAAGCACCGTATTATATAGGCCCATTTTCAAATACCATCTACAATAATGTGCTTACACCGCGCAATATTCATAAAATTTCATGAATAGTATGGACACATACAAATTGTTTGAAAAATTGCCTTTGGTAATACTACACTATAGTACGATATAAAAACATTTAATCAATTTTAACCAATTAAATTCTATTATGTAATAATTACATAAACCTAAACCATATAAAATTGGAACTATTTAATAGTAGAAATAATTCTCTCTTTATAAAATTCTAATTCATAGATTTATAAGAACATTTCTCTGGTGTAAAACCAATCAAAGTTTATGTTATTAATATATCTTACTTATCATAATTATTTTGCAAAATGTATGTATTAAATGTTATGATAAAATAAAGTAAAATCCAAAATAAATGTTTAATCTAACTATAACTAATTATGTATTTAATGGCACGTCTACTTTTTCACCTTGAAATAAATCTGATATCGGCTAATCCTAATCGATATATACGTTCAACTAATCTTGACCATCTCTACACAACGACAACTTTTTCCTTTACTTTGTATAAAGAAAGTTTCATTTTAAGATTCTTTTAGTATTGTTGGTTATTTATACTTAGCTCTTTTTACTTATTATTAGTATATTAATTCTGTATGTTTATAAATCTTCTTTTAGTTGTTTATTTTGTTGGATTCATTAACATATATTCTTTAATTTTATTTGTATATTAACACCACCTACATTAATATTATAGACTAAAATATGTTCTATATTATAAACATCTATACATAAGAAGAAGAAAAAAAGTACAATTTATACATAAATAAATTTTAACATACAATAAAAAAATATATATTAATAGGCTGGCAAAAGGGCTAACGACCGAGGTCTTTCATATAAGTATCTATTTATTCAGATAATTTAAAAAAATGTTAATAAAAAAGTATTGGATTTTTTTTACAAAACATACATTAAATTTTTATGTCTAGACTAGACAGCAGCTCCAATTTTAATAGTGAATAAAATAAAATGTACTATTGAGTATAGGAGAATACTGAATCAATTTGAGAAATTCCAATTCAATTAGATAGCTTTTTAAACATAATAATCATCAGTAATATATTTTTTTAATTCAGTTCAATAGGTGTTTATTTATATTTCAGAATATTAATTAATGGATGTTACTTAAAAAATGTAACAAACACCAATTACATAACGTTCAAACTAAATTTAGAACAGATATATTAAAATTTAAATAAGTGCTTCAATTTTGGTATTCTTCACAGAGTGAATGCACACGACACCTAGATTGTAAACTTCAATATACAAATATGTGCGCGAGTACAGATAACTACAGAGCGTGGATCTTACACGCTCACTAAAAATACAATCGTTAAAAGTCAAGAGCAATTTTAATACATAAGATACGCCAAGATAACAGCATTTCTCTTGTCCTTGATGACGTATCGTGTATAAGAGCGCGATATCTATACTACTCGCGTTAGAACTTTCTAAACAGCTGGCAGTCAAGTATAGACAACTGCAGTGAACGGCAGTTATCGAAATGGCTTCGCAGGGTCACCCGTTCGATTCCGATTGCATTACTCTCACCAGATTTGTTCTGGGTGAGCAGAAGAAATGCCCAAACGCCACCGGAGATCTGACCCAACTTTTGAACTCCATCCAAACTGCCGTCAAGGTGGTGAGCTGCGCCGTAAGGAAGGCTGGAATTACAAAATTGTGAGTTAACGGGAATGTCAATTCAAATAACGACTTGACTAAAATTGTGTTGATCGGCAGGTTCGGAACCGTCGGCGAAACCAATGTCCAGGGTGAAGAGGTCAAGAAATTGGACGTCCTCGCCAATGATTTATTTATTAACATGCTGAAGTCGTCCTATACGACGGCCCTCATGGTTTCTGAGGAGAACGATAACGTTATCCAAGTAAGTTTCCTGTGGTACGACGAGAACGCTTTGAATTAATAGTAATCCAATCAGGTGGAAACTGATAAGCAAGGGAAGTACATTGTTTGCTTCGATCCCCTCGACGGCTCATCCAACATCGATTGTCTCGTATCGATCGGCTCGATCTTCTCCATTTTCAAGAAGGAAGACGATAGCCCGCCTAGCTTGAAGGATGCCCTTCAACCTGGCAGCAAGGTCGTCGCAGCCGGCTACGCTCTCTACGGAAGCGCAACCATGATGGTCTTGTCCACCGGAAACGGAGTGAACGGATTCATGTTGGACCCTTCCATCGGTGAATTCGTCCTCACCGAAAAGGACATGAAAATCCCATCCAGAGGAAAGATTTACTCCATCAACGAGGGATACCAATACATCTGGGATGATGCAATCAAGGAGTATGTCGAGTCTAAGAAAGATCCTGCTAGAGGAAAACCATACGGCGCTAGATACGTCGGATCCATGGTAGCCGACGTCCACAGGACCATCAAATACGGCGGTATTTTCCTATACCCAGCTACATCCGCCTCTCCAAAAGGAAAGGTATTGCGTTAAACAATTAAATGAAACACACTTATTTCAACTGTTACGTTTTCAGCTGAGGTTGCTGTACGAATGCATCCCTATGGCCTATCTTGTTACACAAGCTGGTGGCTTGGCAATCGATGGACAAATTCCGATCCTCGACGTCGTACCCGAAAACATCCATCAGCGTTGCCCCATCTTCTTGGGCTCGAAAGAGGACGTCTTGGAAGTTGAATCTATCATCAAGAAACACGCAAAATGAATGTATACAAATACTGTGATAATTTAAGAAAAAAGTAAATGTTTATTTTTTGAATTCGTTCGACAATTTTCCAAGTATACAAATTAATGCAAATAAATACTTTTTGTTGCTTCCATTCAGTGTCACAAAAAAAAATCATTTCATTACAAAATAACTTAATCGCTTGTGGACATTATCTAATCGACACGGCTTACGTTACTTTTAATCGAATGTAAACAATGTACCAATATTACGATAACTGCCGGGTTTATCAAATACTTATCATCTATGATGTGTACGTTGTTTAAACTGTGAAATGTAAGACCTAAAAGAACAAAAATCAGAAACATCACTTCAAAACATTGTACATATACAGTAACACGGATTAAGTACAAAGTCCTTTATATATTTTATCGTTTGCAATTTTTTTTGTATATATTAGGATTTGTTATATGTCTATTATATCTACAATGTCTTGGTTGAAACGTAATCTTATACGAAAATATACAGCAATCAGATTTGAAGGTCAAGGTCACTAAACTTAACTTTAATTTAATTTGAAATAAGTAATCATATATATTGCCTAAACCACAAAATTCGTAACTGTAACAATTTAACCATACCTTATAATATATTTGATTGAACTGATATAAACTAAATTAAAGAATGTGATAATTTGCAGATAATAGTAACCTTAAATATAATATAATTCGCGCCATCTCAGTAGTAGTTTATGAAGTTGCTTGTTACAAGTAGTTGAGTTCAAAACCATTTAACCCTAACGGCCGAATTGTTAGTAATTGCTAGTTATACTCAGTTATACTGACAACATTAAGGAGAAAAAGTCCCAAAGTTTTAAACAGTTAGTGATAATAACAGAAAAAGTGTTCAGTGGTGTTAAGAATGGCTTGCAATGTGAGTTTATTCAAAACAAAAACAATTAAAGATAAGGAGAACAAGATCCATGAGGAACTGTACAATAACATTTATTTGTTGACATTAATGTATCAAACTTCAAAGGAATTTGATCATGTTTTTAAGAAGGATATGTTTACGAAGAATAACAAGGCTGGTTTCCATCAGGTGATATATTATTTGCTGCACATACTAAATCCCAATGTGATGAAACAGAAGTTACCATCATGGCCTCCCTTGGATATAAGATCTGAAAATCAATTCCGCAATGAAGTTATGAAATATTCAAATGAGCTGAATAGCATTTATGAGAATGCTAATATCCCGACAGTGCTGACTTCACACTTAATTTCACCAGGGGGTTATAAATTTGTTAAGTTCATGTTGAAAATTTCACAACTTGTTCTGTATGAACATCTAAAAGAGGCTAAACAAGATGTAATGTTGACAATGATTAAGCCAACAAAATCAAAAATAATGAATAAAAGGAATATAAGCCATTTGGGAATCATACATACAAAGATACATGAAGAATGTGATCAAATTAAAAGTGAATTTAACTTAGTGTTTGCTTCTTATAAAGAAAAAGCTGAAAGTATGAAGAACCAACTTCAAGGATTTAATAAATCATTGCCTGCATTAAGGAATGAAGTAAGAGATTTAAAAGAGAGCAATACAGACATTGATATAGATGAGATAGACTTAAAATTAGAAGGCATCAAGAAGAAAGTGAATGAAGTGAATGATGTTAGGGATAATTTTGTTCAAGCTCAAAAGTTGCTGAATTCTTTACTGTGTAAAGAAAATTTGTTGGAGTATAAACCTGGTGAATATAAAATTCCACAAGAAATATCTCACCTTATAAATCCATATGCAAACCAATTGAATTTGTTTAACATTTTGGAAAGTTTTATACTATTGATGGAAAGGAAATTCTTCCAAATAAAACCAATTGATGCCAGTGAAGTTACAGCCAGTAAAGAAAAATATGAATCATTTAATGAGGAATTGGAGAAACTGCTGAAGAAGCTTCATGGAATTTGTGACCATCTAACTATGTTTAAAGCAACACTCAATCATGTTGCAATCATCAAGAAGAATAAGTCCAAATCACTTGATATGGTGGAATCTGTAGAGTCATTAGATTCAGTATTGGCTGTGCCGTTATTGGATACTCCTCCTAGGAATCGTAGTATCCTAAAATAACTTTGTAAAAGGGAATATATCAAATAAATCTTACTTTTAAATACGAAATTATTGTTTCTTTGGTTGCATATATCACTGAATGTTTCAATGTTGGCATTACTTATTAAAACTTCGAGTTGTTGAAAAATGTCAGTTGTTGTGATTAATCTGTCAAAATGGCACGTCAGCAACAGGACGTTGATGAATTGTTCGAAATTAAGAACTTTTTCTATATTGGAAATTACCAGCAATGTTTGAACGAAGCTCAGAAATTGCGCAAGGTATGTGTACCATAAAATTGTCGAAGCATCATTACTTATTCATCACATTTATTAGGTGTCCACTCCAGAAGTGGCTGTCGAAAGAGACATCTTTACCTACAGGGCTTACATGGCCCAAAAGAAGTTCCTCGTAATTCTTGATGAAATCAAGCCTTCATCTCATGAGAAAATTCAACCATTGAAAATGCTTGCTGAATATCTCCATCAGAAGAACAGAAGAGATGCAATCATTGCAGATTTGGATCAAATGATGTCTGGCAATGTCAGTGTTGATAATGACACTCTTATTATTGTTGCTGCAACAATTTACATGAATGAAAAGAACTATGAAGCTGCATACAGAGTTTTGCACACCAGTGAATCTTTGGAGGCGATGGCATTGATATTAGATATATTGCTGAAGATTAATAGACTTGATCTTGCTAAGAAGAAGTTGAAGGAGATGTTGGAGAAGGATGATGATGCTACTTTAACTCAACTAGCACAAGCCTGGTGCAATGTTGCAATTGTTAGTATATTTCATAAATGTTGTTTTAACTTAATTAACTGTTTTTATTGAAGGGAGGTGAAAAAACTCAGGAGGCCTTTTATATTTACCAAGAGATGGTTGATAAATATGGTTCTACACCTATGCTACTTAATGGACAAGCTGTAACTTTTATTTCACAAGGAAAATATGAAGAAGCTTCTGTTGCTCTGCATGAGGCTTTAGATAAAGATCCCAATTACCCAGATACTCTTATTAACATGATTGTTTTGGCACATTGCACAGGAAAGGAAGCTGAGGTATTTAATTCTGCCAATTCTTTTTTTTTTAGTAAATATAATTTTATTCTAGGTTTCAAATCGTTATCTGTCCCAGTTGAAAGAGTCTCACAGTGAACATCCCTACCTCAAAGATTTGCAAACCAAGGAAATGGAGTTTGAGAGACTGTGCACACAGTACACGTTTTCTAAACCAGCTTCTGTTCAGGGTTAACATTCCTGTAATTAAGTATTGTATTCATTTTTTTTTGTATATTTTAATGTAATAAACCTTTAATCATTATTGCCTTGATTTCTATTGACTACAAATTTGTGATTGACATATTTCGATATTTAGTTGATTTAATATATTAAAAAAAAAATGGATTTGAATGGTAAGTTCTTTATATAAATATACAATTCGCGCTGATGGATTTCGTTTAAATATTAGATGATGGAATGCCGAAGGTGAAGAATAATCCACCGTTGTATCCGATTTTCGTGATTCCCATTTTTCTGATGCTCAGCATTCCAGTTCGAATGCTCATCAAAAGATTCTCGCTGCCACTTGCTCCAAACGTTTTCCATGTTATTCTTGCTGCTATTTTCACCGCAATTTTGTGTAGCTTCAGTGCGTTACATGATAGTTATTCCGGCATATCCGGAATTCACCCAGACTACTTTCTTTCCATATTCCTTCCGGTTTTTATATTTTCACGTATCTACAGAATGGATTTTTACATATTTGTTCGTTGTCTTCCACAGACTATTATTATATCGACTTTCGGTTTTCTCCTGAATGCCATTATACTTGGTTACATTATTCGCGATATTTTGCATCCTAAGTGGAATTCAACTATGGGCATAATCGCTGGTATAATCGCGGTACCGGTTCAGCCGAATTACATAATAAATATGTTCAAAGAATTGGCTAAATATAAGTATTTAGGAACGATGCTTGAATCGGAAACAATTCTCACATTTATTCCAGTTATTATAAGTTTCGATTTAAGTACTGGTTACAACGAAGGAATTATTTCCAAATGGTATCATTTCCTTTTAATAACTATGCGATATTTGATAGGTGGAATAATTGCAGGTCTTATAATGGGGAAAATAACTGCATTATTGATGTGTTGGTTATATAATGAACCACTTGGAGCATTGAGTGTATCTATCGGTATGACCTTCCTTACATATTACCTTTGCGTTTTCATCTTTGCATTTTCTGGCATTTTGGCTATTATTTGTGTTGTATGTTTTATAGCTGTCGAGAAGCATAGGTTTTCATTAGAAGTAGATGGATGTTTGTTCAGTTTCTGGGGTACTTTGAATTATGTTGTTGAAATAATAATTCTAATGAATTGTACAACTGAAATAATTATACATATCAGTAGGATATTCGATATTCGCGAGATATACGGTACAATTATCACGTATTTTGCTGCTAATATCACCAGATTTTTTGTGTTCCTTCTGATGGGCTTAATTTTGAATAGACTTGCGTATGACGTTAATTTGCGATGTTTGATGGTTTTGGGATGGAGCGGAGTAAAAGGTAACGTGAATCTGTTACTCATTCTGCTTTTGCTTGAGGATGAATATACATTTAACATGGCACAAGAATTTATATTAGAAGTGATGATTTATACCTTTCTTTCATTGGGTATAAATAGTACTTCAATGAGAATGACCTTGAAACTAATTGGTTTATCCGAACTATCCACTGCTCGTCGCACAAATATGAATAACTGTATGCGATTTATTATGGAAAAACGACTTTGCATCATCAATATTTTGAAGTTGAATCGTTATCTATCTGATGCCAACTGGTCATTGGTTAGATTAGAAACAGTCATGAAACATCCATACAAATTGAAGGTGAGCGATGATGTTGATGATGACGAGGACGATGAATTTATGTGGAATTCACGTAATATGATTTGCCCCGACTGTTTGAAAGAAGTTCCTTTGGAAATATCAGACAAGGAGATGGAAGAAATGCTGAAGTATTTAATATTTGCTCTTGAACAGTATTCACTTAAAAATATTGTATCTTAAATTTTAGGGATGCGCAGGTTAAGATTTTGAAGGCGAAAAAGGTTTCCGTAATAAAACAATACGAGAAAGGAACAATAAATAAAAATTGTCTACAAGTGTTAGCAAACGCTTTAGAAGTTATGATCGAATCAAATCCGAAGAGTAATTCATTAGAGCTTAGAGCATATTTAAGACAAGATGTAAGTTTAAAATTTATTTACTATATTTATTTACTTTTGTACTACTTTAAATTTTAGACATTTCTAGTTTTTATTCATGGTTTGCTAATGAAAGTAAATAGTGATCGTCTAATTAAACCACCAAAATGCACTTTCAGAAGACTATGCTTTTACTTGATGATGCACAAGGGATATGATTTTGTTAATTATTTGATAATAATTATATGTACAGTGATGATAATTCTAATTCGGACACATCCTCTATATACATGGAAAATGTTCCAGCTTTATACAATGTGGTTGTTCTTTGTCATTGATTTCCTAATCAAAATATACGGATTGTCTCGTCTTGGACTTTGCGATGGCGTGAAGAAATATTTTAAGTATAGTTTTTAAATATATAAAAAGCGAAAGTTATTAAAATAATTTTAGATCATATTGGAATGTTTTCGACTTCGTAATGTTAACCGAGGAATTTGTTTACCTCGATTGCACACTTTACATGTATATTAGAGGAGGCAGGATAATATATTATTATAAACCAATGAAATATATTAGAACTTTTAGAATTTTCAAAATAATTTATTTACTACGTAGTTTATCTCGAAAAATGTTGCAAGTAATTGAGTACAAAATAGATACAAAAATTTGCTTCGGTTATGATTTAGCTACTGTACGAATTTAGATACTTATTTAATATCAATATAACATTAAGACTTTTAGGCAATTGTCAATAGCTGCGACGAAATAACAGACATAATATCGCAGTTGATTGAAATCCGTGTAATTCGTGATATACTTTTGAAACAAGTACGTGATGAAAAGCATATTTTGATTAAAGAGATGGAACAAGTACAGAAAGAGCGACCTTGGATTGCGATAACTGTTAAAACTAAACAAGCCATCAGAACAACTTTAAATGCAATGGAAGAATCACTTAACGACTTGAAGATGTCCGGTTTCGTTGATAATATTGAGTACACATTGATTTTCAAAGAAATATTTGAAAAGCAGAAGTTTCTACGAAATATGAAATTCGTTCAACCTAGTCCACCTAAAGTTATCTTTAATGAAGTACCGTGGATGGCGGAGGATGAAGAAATCATTGATTTCTTATATAAACATGTTCAAACCGTTTCCTGGGATGCTGGAGAGGTGGTTTGCAAAGATGGATCCTTCTCGAGCGGAATTTATATTGTAGTTACAGGTAAGTATTCTAGATAAAAATAAGTAAATTATTGGATATGTAAAATTCAACTAGGTTTGTTGCGTTTGAAATATAAACCGAAGGAACAAACGTTAGAGAATCTTCGTGAGTTTGGAAAAATACCAGTCGTGGATTATTTATCAACATTGAAGTTCGATACAAAATTAGATGATAATATTATGTCTGGTAATAGTATTGGTGAATTAAGTGTTCTTACTGGTAGACCCTATGATTGTAACATAATTACCGATTCTCCGAGTCAGGCTTACTTACTTACTACTGAAGTAATGAAAGAAGCTATGAGATTGAATAGTAATCCAGTTAGAGGGTAAATTTGTATAGATTAACAAATTGTTAATAAATAATTAAATTTGTTTAGATTGGAAACACGAATATGGAAATGCTCTACAATTAATTTAGCTGTGGCATTATTAATGGATATTCCTTTATATCAATCTTTCACTCAAGAACAGATTAAATTCAAATTGGAAAAATCGTTCGCGCCGAACCTACGTTGCTACAAAATGTTTGTAGTTACTGAAATGATGGATGACATCATATTGTTAGAAGGTATTGCATCAGATTACAACAGTGGAGAATTATTCGTTGCTCCAATGGTAATACCCAGGTAAAAAGAACGAAAAACTAAATCAAATCAAGATATAAAGAATTATTTCATTTTAGGACCATACAAAAATTAATTCTTCCTCAGAGTAGTTATTTAGAAATTGAGGAAAAAATTGATACCAGATTATTAATAATACCAATGGGAGATGCTAAAGCATATGAAATAATGGAGTTTGAAGAAGAAGTTGCTGAATTGGTTACTTAAAATATTGGCAGTTTTTATTTGAAAATAATAAACAAACATATATGTTTTAGGTATCAATTGCGTCCAGTAAATGCCTTTTGCATTCGGTCCTGGATCATAATGCCAAAAAGAAGAAGTTGAAACGAAAAATGGAAAAGGAATCTCGCATGTTTACTAAAGAATCTGTAATATTATTATTAGTTGTAGTTGAAAAAATATAATATACAATATTTTGTAGGATCTAACTATATTCAACGAAAGTGATAACAAGTTTGAGGTGTTGGATGATGTTCAATTATTACAAGTTCCTGTTTGTAAGTTTACGCGTTTTTTTTAAGTTACTTAAATATACAATATTTCATTTAAGCTTCAAAGAATACAGTAGTTAGTGAACAATTGATAGACAAATTGCAAACTCTACAAAATTTATCCGACGAAGATAAGATTCAAGCTGGCCCATCAGCAAACAAATCTAGTAAAGATTCCACAAAGCAGAAAAAAACAAGCAACTGATTGTAATAATTTATTTTTATTCTATTTAGTTATGTATTTCTTTAATTTCAATGTTATAAAATGTAAATACAAATGAAGTCTGGATTTAATTAGATTATTTCATTGTTTTACAAACATATTACACAAATTATAATTTTAGGGCGCTAACAATCGGTGGTCAGGGATTGAACGTTACAACCCAAACATTTATATATAAAATGATTCATCGATTTTGCCTTAATTTATATGTTACCTACCGAAAATAGATATGACCAAGCTTACACACAAGAACAATCCAATACATAAAACTCCCAACGAACTGCTGTATGAACATACTAATATTACACCTATTTTGAAACGCATTGGCAGAGTTTTGCTCCAGACCGTTTGCATGTTAAAAGACGGAGGTGAGTCTCTAATCAGCTTTCCTACTCTTACTATATACGAGAACATATCGGCAACTTAAGAAGTACTGTTAGAATTTTGGTGTTCTTTATGATCTTTTGTACATTATATTATTATTTCCCGGGCAAAAAGACCTATGATCAGTAGCCCTTTGTAGCAATTCAATTTAGTTTTATTTTTATTATGTTATTTTCTTAAATTTGTATTATGTTTATTGCAATAAATATTATTATTATTAGAATTGATGTATATATTTCAAATTTTGAAGGATTGAATTTGATGAAAGAAATAAAATCATCAATGCTATGATCTCTATTAAAAAAACAGATAAGCAAGACAGGTTTGTCATATTAGATATATAATTAAAAAAAATCGTGATAAGTTTTCACTAAATAACAATGGATGCTAACGGTGAGTAAACTCTAATATAATGTATTAAGTAACTTCAAATCATTGTTCTCTTCAAACAGATGACAACGATATGCCCAAAGTTAAGAACAATCCTCCACTTTATCCGGTATTCGTAATCCCGATTTTCCTTCTTCTAAGTATTCCAGTGCGTATGATGATTAAAAAATTCACTCTACCATTAGCACCAAACGTTTTCCATATTTTCATTGCTGTCATCTTTACTGCTATCTTACTTTCTCTGCCAGTGTTTAGTGACAATTACTCTGGAATATCCGGAATTCACCCAGAATACTTTATTTCAATTTTTCTCCCAGTATTCATAGTCTCTAGAATATACAGAATGGATTTTTACATATTCATACGTTGCCTACCGCAAACGGTAATAATTTCCACAGCCGGTTTTCTCATAAACGCTATCATACTTGGATATATAGTACGAGATATTTTACACCCTAAATGGACTGCAACGATGGGAATTCTATCTGGAATAATCACAGTTCCAGTCCAACCGAATTACATTATTAATATGTTTAAAGAATTGGCTAAATATAAGTATTTAGGAACTATGCTTGAATCCGAGACCATCCTCACATTTATACCTGTTACTATATGCTTTGATTTGTGCACGGGATACAACGAAGGTATTATATCCCAATGGTACCATTTTCTCATCATATCTATGAGATATATTATTGGTGGCATAATAGTAGGAGTTATAATGGGTAAATGTACTGCAGTTTTAATGTGTTGGTTATACAACGAACCACTTGGTGCTTTGAGCGTTTCAATTGGTATGACCTTTCTCACGTATTACCTTTGCGTTTTCGTTCTGTCATTCTCTGGTATTTTGGCTGTGGTCTGTGTTGTTTGTTTCATTGCTGTTGAAAAGCACAGATTCTCTTCAGAAGTGGATTGTTGTATATTTAGTTTTTGGGGAACTCTTAATTACATCATCGAAATTGCGATTATCATGAATTGTACGACTGAGATCGTGGTGCATATTAGTAAAATTTTTGATATCCGTGAAGTGTATGGTACAATTATCACGTATTTTGCTGCAAACATTACAAGATTTTTCTCGTTTCTTTTACTTGGATTGTTGTTAAACCGATTGTCTTACGATGTCAACTTAAGATGTTTGATGGTTCTGGGATGGAGCGGCGTGAAAGGAAATATGAATCTTCTGCTTATTTTGCTGTTACTCACCGATGAACATACCAATGTTATGGCACAAGAATTTATATTGGAAGTAATGGTGTTTACTTTTCTTTCGCTGTGTATAAACAGTACATCCATGAAGATGACCCTAAAACTTATTGGATTATCCGAGCTTTCGACGGCGCGTCGAACTAACATGAACAATTGCATGAAATTTATTATGGAAAAAAGAATTTGCATCATAAACATATTGAAATTGAATAGGTACCTATCAGACGCAAATTGGTCGTTGGTTAGGTTAGAAACGATCATGAAGCATCCTTACAAGCTAAAAGTAACTGATGATGTGGATGAGGATGACGAGTTCATGTGGAATTCTCGTAACATGATTTGTCCCGACTGTCTTAAAGAAGTTCCTCTGGAAATATCAGAAAAAGAAATGGAAGAAATGCTTAAGTATATTAAATATAATTAATTATTAACTAATAACTAAAAACATTTTCTTTCAGAGATGCGCAAGTTAAAATTTTGAAAGCAAAGAAAGTGTCTGTCATCAAGCAATACGAGAAAGGAACAATCAATAAGAATTGTTTACAAGTGTTGGCAAATTCGCTAGAAATTATGATTGAATCAAATCCTAAAAGCAATTCATTGGAGCTTAGAGGATTTTTGCGGCAGAACGTAACATATTTTTATTATAATTATACACCAATATTTGTATAATTTACGTTTACAGAGATTCTTAGTCTTCGTACACGGATTGCTTCTAAGAGTAAACAGTGATCGATTTTATAAACCTCCAAAAAGCATGTTCAAAAAGCTTTGCTTCTATTTAATGATGCACAATTTGTATGATTTCTTTATATATATTGGTATTATTGGGAGCATCGTATGGATTTTCGTTGTACCTACATTTCCACAAACACCATGGAAATTTATTATAATACTTTTTATTTGGGTTTTCTTCTTAAATGATTTCTTGATAAAAGTATTTGGATTATCTCATTTAGGATTACGCGATGGCCTTAGAAAATATTTCAAGTACATTATAAAACCAATTTTGAATATAAACCTTACATTTTAATTCATATTTTAGATCTTATTGGAACATTTTTGACTTTGTCCTCCTGGTATTTGAATTAGCCTACTGCATCTTCTATTTGTACAATTATATCGCAGAAAGACAACGTCGCTATTATTTCTATGGCCTGAGATATTTTAGGGTAATTAGAAGTCTTAGATTCTTCTATCTGCTACGAAGCATGTCTCCAAAAATGTTACAAGGAGTTGAATATCAGATTGATTCAAAAATTTGCTTTGGATACGATTTGGCAACTGTACATAAAATTTACTTAATAATTACAAATTTATTATTTTTTTTAATTTTAGGCTGTTGTTAACTGCTGCGATGAAATTATAGATATAATATCGCAATTAATTGAAGTACGTTTGATTCGTGATATTCTTTTGAAACAAGTACACGATGAGAAACATACTTTGATCAAAGAGATGGAACAAGTTCAGAAGGAACGACCTTGGATTGCAATCACTGTGAAAACTAAACAAGCTATCCGGACAACTCTGAATGCCATGGAAGAGGCTCTAAATGAACTAAAGTTTTCTGGTTTCGTTGATAATATAGAGTACGCTTTAATTTACAAGGAAATCTTCGAAAAACAGAAAGTTTTGAGAAACATGAAATTTGTTCAGCCTAGTCCACCTAAAGTCATTTTCAATGAAGTTCCATGGATGGCCGAAGACGCTGAAATTATCGAATTTTTGTATAATCATGTTCAAACGGTATCTTGGGATGTTGGTGAAATTGTTTGTAAAGATGGTAACTTTTCTGCAGGAGTTTACATAGTAGTTACAGGTGAGTAATAAATTACAAAATACCTTTTTTTATATTTATTCAGTTATTACAGGTTTATTACGATTGAAATACACACCAAAAGATCAAACTTTAGAAAAATCTCATGACTTCGGAAAAATACCAATTATTGATTATTTGTCTACATTGAAATTTGATACCAAATTGGATGATAATATAATGTCGGGAAATAGTATTGGAGAACTGAGCGTTTTGACTGGTAGACCTTACGATTGCACAATAGTAACTGATTCACCAAGTCAAGCTTATTTACTTACATCAGAGGTGATCAAAGAAGCAATGAAGATTAATAGTGATCCAGTAAAAGGGTATTTTTTATATGGTAACAGTGAATTTGTAACGTAAATGATATCATATTAGATTGGAAGCGCGAATGTGGAAGTGCACTACAATTAATTTGGCTGTAGCAGTTCTTATGGATATCCCTTTGTATCAATCTTTTACACAAGAACAAATCAAGTTTAAATTGGAAAGAGCTTTCATGCCTAATTTGCGTTGCTACAAAATGTTTATTATAACAGAAATGATGGATGATATCATATTATTAGAAGGGGTTGCTTCGGATTATAATAGCGGCGACTTGTTCGTAGCTCCAATGCTAATTCCCAGGTTACATTTAAAATTAATATCATTGTAAAATATCATTTTTAATTTTATTTAAAGAACAATTCAAAAATTGATATTGCCTAGAAGCAGTTATTTGACATTGGAAGAACCCGTGGAGACAAGATTGTTAATTATACCTATGGGCGATGCTAAGGAATACGAGATAATGGAATACGAAGAGGAAATTGCAGAATTGGTTATAACTATTTACTTAGAATTTATTGCATAAGTGACCAGTAAATTGTTTTAGGTTTCCGTGGTATCGAGCAGTTGTTTACTGCATGCTTCACAAGATCAGCCTAAGAAGAAAAAGAAGAGCAAGAGAAGAATCCATAAAGATTCTCGTATGCTTACCAAGGAATCCGTAAATGCTGCACATACTAAAGTTAAATTACAAGACTATAATTATCTTTATGTTGCTTTTAGGATGAAAGTTTATACCAATCGAGTAACGTTAAGTTTGAAATCTTAGATGATGTTAAAATGTCTTTCCGTATAAGCTCCGCTAACAGTAAGGTAAAGTTAATTTAATAATATAAATTATCTAATTTGTTTAATGTTTGTAGTTGAAGAAAGAAAGAGAAAACAGTTGGTGGATAAATTAAAAATTCTAGCAGATACAGAAGCATTCCCCGCGGATGATAATGTTGATGAAACAAAAGTTACTGATATTAAATAATGTTTATACTATTTTCTTTTTAATTACATGTAAGTTGTGTATTTTCAAAAATAAAATCTAGTTGATACTTAAATAATACAAATTCTATTAAAAATTTAGTTGAATAACTACAATTTATAAAAAAAAAATGTTACAAGAAGAAAACAATATTTATGATTAACACTTTTATATAAGTGATTATAAATTATATACATTTACAAAATATATTGGTCCATAGCAAATGGTTATCAACCGAAGTCTTTCTGTTTGATTGAATCTATTTTATAATCGATCAACTCTTTTGAAAGAAAATCGACAAACTAAAAGTATTATCTTAAACAATAAATTTATTCAAATAATTAATTATCTTCAATTATATATAACATATATATTATCAAAAATTAAATCTAGTTGGCAATTAGGAACAAAATAATAATAAAAAAAATAATCATAAACAAATGTGATGTCGCTGAATTAAAACTTGTAGTGATTTAAATGTGTTAAAGTTTAAAATGAATGACAATAGTGAATCCGAATTAGAAGTGATCTTTTATGGGAAAAAGACGTTTGATATTTGGCCAGCTGCATTTGCAGTCACGTTATTAAGTTTAACAATTGCAATACCCACATGCAAGATAATTGCGGTCTACACGCGATTCCGTATTCCATTGCAATGCCCCTGCTTTGTGTTCACCATAATATGTGCACTCCTTTTTCAAAATTTGGAGTACCTATCATACTTCATGAGATTCGACTCGTATTATTATGGTGCTGGTCCACTACTTATGGGGTTTTATTTTCCGCTGTTTGCAGTTAGAACAGCGTTTAGTATTGACAGAAGGAAGATTTTGAAGATATTGCCGCAGATGTGGTTGATATCGCTCAGTGCTTTATTGATAGGAGTGATGCATGGATTTATCATGAAGGTAGTAAAGAATTCATTGAAAGCCGATACTCTCGATGCATTACTGCAAGGATTCGTATTTTGCACAACTCAACCGCATTTTATCTCTCAAATCTTTCGAGGAATGGAAAAATACAAATACTTTCATTACTTGTTAGAGGGTGAATCTGTATTGACGAATACCTGGATCTTGACCTGGTTTCAGGTATTGCAATTGATATATAAGTTTTATGACCATTCTCTCTCAGAAGTCGCTTTCGTAGTATTTCTTATGATCTTCGGTGGTTTTATATTAGGTTGCATCTGCGGAAAACTCGCCACATTTCCTTTAACATATATGAACATTGATTTAAAAGGTTCTACAGGTATCATTATTTCAATGACTATTATTACATATTACGTTGCTAATTTCATTTGTCTTTCACCTTTTATTGCCGTTACCACAATGGTTTTTGTTATTTTAATTGATAGAAATAGATTCTCTAAAATAAATAATGAACATTTTCATATCATTTTCGACAACCTTTTCATACTCTCTGATGTTATTGTATACAACATTTGCGTTTTACAAATCAGTTTAGTAATTACAACAAATATATTTTCTATAATACATTTGATGTTCTTTAATTTTATTTCCATTCTAATTTGCCGATTCGTTGTTCTCACAATAATGTATCCGATTTTAAGGAAAATAGGCTTTGGCTTCAGCTACAACACCATTTTAATTCTTTCATGGTCAAGTATCATGAGTACAACTACTTTAATAATGACATTGATGTTGATAAACGATACTTTCACTCATCGCGTTACAAACTCTTTAATGCCTTACGTCCTGTTCAACCTACTTGGATCTGTAGCTGTAAATGGACCAGGCATTGCTGTCTACATCAAAGTAATTTGTTCTCAATCAATTTCTCAATCGAAAATCGCAAATATGGACACAATTATAAAACACATCACTTCTACAAGAGATCGATACATCTACCTTATGAAGATGGATAGGTAAATATAAACAGAATATAATTGATATCATTTTATATCATTGAGTTTGTTAGATATATGGCAGATGTTAATTGGACTTATGTACGAGAAATGACAACGATTATACAACCTTATGATACCAACGACATTGAGGTTTCGAACAAGAACAAGTTGACCACTTCAACAAAGTGCCCCTTTTGCTCCAAAATCATTAGTCTAACACTCAGCAATAAGAAAATGATGGATTTGAAAAGGTTATTTAATCATATCTCAATATATTTATTATTAACATATATTGCAGGGAGACTAAGAAGCAAATTTGGAATTACATGAAAACAATTGTTGTGCGTCAACACGAAATTGGAATGGTCTCAAGGGAATCATTGCAGATGATTTTAAAGAAATTCGACCATCTTCTGAACGATGATAATTTTGAGACTGTTGATATTGCAAAGTTAAAAGACTTTTTCGCCAAGAATGTATGGTGATTGCTTATTAGTTATCTAATTTATTTAAAAAAATATGTTTCAGAAATATTTGGATTTCATTCAACGCATTTATAACAAGTTCTTCAGCTTTCAAAGGGCCAATGTTTTGATGCCCAGAAAACGATATAGGAGAATTTGCTATAAAATCATCATGAACAAAATGTTTACAATTTTGATTTACACAATTAATGTTGCTGTTACAATACCGTTAATTTTAAATTACTTTCGGGATCATTACAATTTTCAAAGGGAGAAAGTATATTATTACTTATTTTTGGCTTATCACATAGCAGTGCTAATTTATATAGTTGAATTTGTGCTAACAATTATGGCATATTCTTGGGTTTATTTGTTCAAAGATGGAGTTCGCACTTACCTACGGTAAATATACTTTATTTAAAGATGTAAAATATATTATAAATATATTTTAGGTCTTTGTGGCATATTTTGGATTTTATTACTATGATTCTGTGCATAACAGAAATCATCTTGATCTGGGAATATTATAATAAACCGACGCCATCAAAATATGTAATAATACGGAGTATACGTTATCAGAGATTGGTTAGAGTGTTAAGGTTATTCAGTAACCAATTTCCTAAGATTCTGATTGCACTAGAAGGAAGGTTAGAGATCAAATTTCTCTGTGGATATGAAATTGCAAGGGTAATAAGGATGCATTATTACTGCTTTTTTATTTTAATACTGTATTCTTTAGGCTTTAAAGGAAAGCATAGACGAAATGATCATGGTTATGAATAGAGTTATTGATTCATCTGATACTAGAGAATACTATCTACGTAAATTTGTTCAAGACAGAGATGACCTTGGGCAATTAATGATGAAAATACAAATTAGTTATCCATGGATTCCTGTTACTATAAAGACCAAGCAGATGATCACTTCCTGTCGATTTGTTATGACTGAGGGTCTGCTCAATTTGAAAGCATCTGGTTTCGTTGATGACATCGAGTACTCGCAGTTGATGCAGTCAATAAAAAGCAAGGAAACACTTATAAAATCTGTAAAAAGAGTGAAACTACCTTTGGCAAAAATCATATTTCTGAGTGTTCCTTGGATGCGCATGGATGATGCTAATACTGCCGAGTATCTTTTTATCAGATCTTCGGTAAGAGTCTTTGAAAGCGGGTATGAGTTTTGCAAAGTCGGTGATTATTTGGATGGCATACTTATACTTCTCACAGGTATGTTTTTTTTATCATATTTTATCATATCAGTGTATATCTTAATATTCACTGATACGTTTTTATAATTGATATTTTTGCTGTATTAATGTGAACAACATTGTTTCTAGGGGTTTTAAACATAATTTATGAACCTACTGAGGAAATTTTAAAGAAAAACAAAGAATATGGATATATACCAGTTGTTGAGTGTCTGCGATCAACTATTCTAGAAGATAGTTCAAACTTTCATATATTACCTGGAAATACAATTGGAGAAATTAACTTGCTTACTGGAAGACCTTACGATTGTCGCATAGTGGCTGTATCTAATGTTAAAGCTTATTTTATCAATATAAAATACATCATGGAAGCAATAAAACAAAATTCTAATTTGGCTTATGGGTACTGAAATGCTTATAAATATTTGAAATTTGAAATAATCCGTACTTTATTTTTAGATTGGAGAGTAGTATGTGGAAACATGCAGTTATGAGAATTGCTGAAAAATTGTTAAAAAACACGCCCGTTTACGAGTTCAACACTTTACGAGAAATACAAACTAAATTGGAAAGAAGTATAATGCCAGATTTCAATGCTTATGAACATTTTCTAGTAACGGATATAATCGAAGATGTAATTTTGATAGATGGCATTATCATTGATTCTTATTCGAGAACCTCGTATTGCGCTCCTTATTATATACCAAGGTTGGATTTTTTTTTGTAAGAGAAAATAATAGTTTTAATTATTTTGGTTTTCAGATCTGTAGTTAAAATTAATCTTCCTAAAAACGAACACAGTAAACAGGTAGCTAAGCTTTTGATAATACCTATACCAGATGTGGACTATTTGACTATGATTAATGCTGAACCGCGTGTAGTGGAATTGGTTCCATCAGGAGATAGTCGCTGCACGTATGGTCCTAAAGTTAAGAAGAAACGCAAGAAGAAAGGTAAAAAAGGTAAGAAGGAACTCCTCCAGTCATACAGTTCAGTCGTCAGTAAGTCAATTGGAAGTATTGCGAGCTTTCATCATTCATCGCACAGTTTAAGCATCGGCAGCAGCAAAGATAAATCCATTACTTAAATATTTATTTAAATAAAAATGTTATTGCGACACAATGAGTTTAATACCTAAGTTAGAAATATCACAATATGCGGAAACTTTAACATTATTGTACATTTCAAGCATTTTACTTGCATTCTTCGATAAAATATTTGTTTTGTTAATAACCGTAAACGTCGCCGCCTTTTCGATGATCGGCATTGGCAAAGATGGTGTCGTTCTTCTTGAACAGACCACATATAACAGAGTACGATGTAAGGCGAGTGGTATTATGTCCGAGCTTCTCCAAACCATCAATGATTTGCTAAAATCAAATGTATTAGTTATAAGCTTTAATTAGAAAATCATTATATTACCTGAAGAGTTCCGTATTCATAACCAAGTTGCATCGGGTATACTTGATGATGGATTCTTGGTGAATCTACAGCTTCTTTAATATTTTGTCCAAACCATAGTATTCTCATAATAACCTAAAAAGGAATGGTTATATTTTTGAATGATAAAAGTATTGATTTTGAATACTTGAGCTATGCCAGTTGTGATTTGTGTTCCTCCAGATGCTCCGACTACCAAAATCACATCACCGTTTTTGTCAGTCATTACGCTCGGACTCATCGATGACAAAGGCCTTTTTCCTGGTGCAATTGCATTATTTGGGGATCCTGGTAAACCAAAATAGTTCTTGAATCCGGGTGTTGAAAAATCATCCATCACGCTGTTGAAGGTGATACCTGTGCTTTCGGAGATTACTTCCGATCCAAAACTGAAAAAATAATTAATTTATTAAAATTTCTTGCTATGAAAGTCGTGGAATAACTTACTATAAATTGATGGTACTAGTAACAGAAACAGCATCACCGTATTCGTCCAGTACAGATATATGAGCTGTACCATTATCACCAGAATCATCGTAGAAGACAGCACCGTAATGAGCAGGATCTGTAAATGTTTGATTGTCTCTAATTTTCAATCGGATTTCTTCAGCGTATTGAGGCGAAGCCAATTTGTTGATCAACTAAAAAAAACACCTATGAAAATAATTTACTAACAATATAATTTTGGTATATGTACATTATCGATATTAATAAATTTAGTATCTCCCAGTTCAGTTCTCTTGGCATACGCGTATTTAAATGCTTCGATCATTCTATGATATGTTTGAACTGTATTTTCAACGCCATCAATACTTTGCCGAGTGAAATTAAATCCATCGAGGATTTTCAATATAAAGGCCAACAAAATACCGGAACCGGGTGGAGGAGTGGAGTATAGCTGATCACCATTGTTCAAAGTAACGGAAATTGGGTCTGCCCAAACCGGACTGAAATAACATTAATTATTATTTAAAGTAGGAATATAAAAAGCAAACTATTCACCTGTAGTTTTTCAAGTCCTCTGCCGTTATTATAGAGTTTGCCTTCTTCAAATCGTCCAATATCATTTTAGATAGTGATCCTGTATAGAAATCCTCCGCTCCTTTTTCCGCAATTATCCTCAGCGTGTTGCACAATACTTCCGGTTTCACCGTTTCTCCAACCTTCTTCAGATTACCATCGTCATTGTAAAACCATTTCTTGTAAGTCGGAGTGGTGAAATTGATTTTTTCTGCAGTTTTGTGTTGAGGGATTGTCAGTTTGTATCCTTTGTCGCACAAATCTATTGTCGGTTGGATGATCGTTTTCCAGTCGAGTTTTCCGAACTTTTGGTGAGCTTCCCAATAGCCTTTCAATTCTCCAGGTACTCCAATGGAAAGTGGTCCTTTAGGGTTCAAGTATTATAATGTATAATGAATTCTTAATAATAGAATACAATTTTTTTACCTTTTCTTGCTGCTTTCGGTTTGTTTTGGAACATGTTTGGGGTCGCAGCTAATGGTGCCGTTTCACGTGCATTTAGAGTGTAAGCCTTGCGTGCATCCTTCTTGTAGATAGTCATCAGAAAGCCGCCTCCTAAGCCCATACTCTGCATGTTCACCAAACCATTACAGAATAATGCAGCCAACGTTGCGTCAACAGCGGATCCTTTCTGTTGTAATATTTGCCTATTAATTACAAGGAGAAAAAAATATTAATAACTATTATTGTGCTTAAAAAAGTACATAATATAAATTGTCATAAGATAATGGATACAAACAGTTAAGAACTCCTGATAGAGTAAAAGATGAAAAGAAAACATCAAATATAAATTCTACTATTTTTCTTTCGAATTGAAGTTTCTATAATCATAATAATGTGTTTAAGAGTGAATGTATATTTCTATTTATAATACAGATATTTTTACTTCCCTTTGATTTTACATTTTGCTCCTATGATAAATTATTTTTTCGTCCTTTCAAGTTTTTTGAAAACCATTAAAAAAATGAGTAATCTTCATTTGCTGTTATATAATATATTGTTATATGTAATAACTAATACATAAGATAAAAAAAAATAAATAAATTGAAGATGTACAAATATTTTGTACAAATCATACAAACAAATTGTAGTTATATAATCTTAGTTTTTAAATTAATAAGTCAATAATCAATTCAAAATAAAACGATTAAACTTCTTGATGGACCTAATATAAGTATTTATTTAAGAATCAACATAGGCTTATGTTATAAACAGATAAGCCATGCACCAGAAAATAATAATATAAAATTTGTAAACAAACAACACGTGTCGTCAGATAAACACAGAATCTTAAAATTTCATCCACAATTTAAAATCGTATGAACGACCTCAATTTTAGATTCATCAATGGCGCATTTTTAAACGTCTCTTACAAGGCTAACTTATATTTTATACGAGCATTTGACCTTCTTACATGACCAAAATATGAATAATTTAATTAACCGTAGCAAAAACTCATCTTTATTTAAAAAAAAAAGTAATTACAAATTTTAATTTAAAATTATTTTAAATTTCCATTTCAATGACGATAATTACAAAAATAACATATGGAAACTTAATTTATTTTCTTACAAATATACAAATTTAATTAAAATATCTGTTTTTTTCTATATTTTTTGTAAGAAACAAAATAAGTAAAATAATTTTAATTTAAAAATGTTTGATAATTGTTTTCTTAATGTTGTTTGTAGAAATGATTACTTGTAGAAATAGATATTGTGTTTTTGTTTAATTTTTCACTACACTATATTTCTAGTATCTTTGAGAAAACCAATAACGTTGCAAAACAAAAACTATAATATTACAGAATAAATTTAATTAAATTAAAAAAAAAACATTAAACAAAAATTGTCAAAACAGCTACATTTATAAATATAGTAATTAATTAAACATTCAAGATTTAATTAAGTATATATTTGCTGTTATTATTCTGTATTTTAAATTAATCAATTTATTATTTGAGATTATTTGTATTGAAGTATTCACATTTAAAATTTATATTGTCAACAAATGCAAGTAAAATTATTGTTTCCATAATGAATAAATTACTTTATCGTTAGCTTAACCATATATATTTTCATCATATTTATATTAAAATATATACAGTACTCAACGGATGTACGTTTCAATCCATCACACAGACAGACTTGACAGGATTAATTTAATTACTATTATTATTGAAGCAATTACAAAACGGATGGGAATTAAAACCTGATGAAAATGTCCAATCAAAGTGAATTAATTCTTATATAAGTAAAAATATATAGATATTAAGAAGAAAATTAATAATAATATTTAATGTATTCTGGAAAAGAAATGATTTCCGCTCATACAATTTTTATGTAAAACTTTAATAACTTGTATTAGTAATTTTTATTATTAAAGCATTTTTTTTTATTAAAAGTAATAAAATTATACAACGCTGGAAACCTTAAAAAAAAACCTCAAAATGTACCCAGATTCAAATTATCGCGGCATTTCATTGATTCGTATTATATAATACGATTATTCCCGAACACGATTATGTCCAGAATCTTTGAGATGTAGATGAGCAGGGTATTAAGGAGTTACTGCAGGTTTCTAGTGAGAGCTTTACCAACAACGACCTTCAGAACAAGGAATGGAAGAACGCAAAAATAGTGATTCTGAATAGGATGAACCAAAGAACAGATTTTTTTTAGAAAAAGTTTAGAAACGATAACCGAAAACGTTGATGAAATTGTAGCAAATGATCCAAATTTTGACAAGAGTGCAAAAGTAGTAGTAGTAGTAAGAGGAGTTTTGCTGCCAACATTTGCTTAATGAAAGAAAGAGAAAGTGACAAAAGACTAGACGATTTTATCTCCAAAAAAATAAAAATATCAGAAAAGCCAGAACCTTCGTCATAAAGGAAACTTAATATTTCTATGTACAAATGTTTGTATTATATAAAACATATTATAATGCAATTTGCTATGTGTTAAAATGACCTCCTTTAACGCTTTTTCGTTTAGCGTTTTATCTTCAGCAACGCATCTGCAGCGGTAAACGAGGTATTACTGTATTTGTATCGTATACATTTATAGTTGGCTAAGTGTACAAATCAAAAATTCAATAAGATTTGCTCAACTTTCGCAAGGTGTGTAACGTTAATACAAATTTGATAAAATAAATAATCAACAAAATTTATTATACACATACATACAAACTGGTATTCAATGCAGTCTTTCCGTCCTTAAGAAAATATTATAACTTAATTATGAAAGAAATATATTTGTCAAATTATTTTTTTATGATCTTAATTTTCTTCATTTAAATTACTTATCTAATTGATTATGTCACTGAATTAAATATGCATTAATTAATTAATTGATAATGACATGGAGTATTTCTCAAATCTTTTAATGCATATCTCAATATTTATTAATTTAAATTATATTGCATCAATATTTATTATAACCGCAAATATATACGGGACTATACCCGAATAGTAAGTCCTCGTTTAGCGATTTCTCAATTAGAGCTGATTCGATATAAGTATACTTGTCTGCCTCGAAGCCTAAAAAGGCTTTAAATTTACCTCTTTACTATATGTTAACATAACTTGGTTTGATGCTATTGTTTAGCGCTTCTTGTCTAGGAACACATTCAAAGAGATAAACGAGGTCTTATATTAAGAAAAATAACATACGGATTTACATGATATAAATATCCTAGTAAAGTATTATATTTATTCTACAGTATTAAACTTGATTTGGTTATGTGCCAAATGTAAATATAAACATCTTGAAGCGCTGCTATCATGGAATTTCCTATTTATTTTGAAAATTGGTCCATTTCAAACTAAATGCTATTAACCAAAATCTTTCTGTCCAGAATAAACTATTTTATGTAACATTTAATTAGTGGAATTTATATTAATGTAAGATACTTTTAAATTATTTATTTACTAATTTTTATTTGTTCTAATGTGGGCTAACATTAAAAAATAATGTGATAATTAAATATATTCCATAAGAAACACATAATAGAATTACAAATAACATAAACATTTGATAACCAGACAGAAATTTCAAAGTAGATCAAAAGAATGATTAATTTCATCTCTAACAACTCAAAATCTTAAAAATTGACGATATATATTCAATAAACGTAGACTTATTTATATTTCATAATTATATATTGACATAAATAAATATAATTTGTATCTTTTCATTTATATATGTATATCTATTATTAAAATGTGGTTTAAATAATCACATAAAAATTTCACAGCATTTAGCATAAACTATATTCATTTTGCATACGTTATATTCTGCGTTTCTATTTAGAAACGCACGCGAAAAATTCAATCTTTGGAATTTGAATATCAGCAAACTGCATATGCACGTTCAATACAACGTGAATATTTCTGCAACGTCGTCAACATTTCCAAAACGTACATGTGGATATTATAAATTCGCTTATTTGTACGTTCATTAATTATCATGCATTGTGTTGTATCATCAAATTTTACTGCAACATTTCATCATACGATTTCCTTTATTTACAAACAGAAATTAATGCATTTATGAAGCTATTATCTCTATGTAATCTGCACATGGAGAGAGAAAGAGACAGGGTTTATCTCTAGACGAATGCAATAATAATATGTTTATAAATAGTCGTTGTTTTCCATTGCTCATTATTTATCATAATATGCATTTTTCTATTGAAATAAACAATATAAGTAACATAAATAAATTGAAACCTGTAAACAACAATGGATATCTTCTTCCATTCTATCTTATTTTGGTATTATTGAGTCATCTGAAATACGTCATAATTTTTTGTGAGTCATGATTTCAATTGGAACTTAATAGATATTTTGGGGAGATTTAGACATGTTAATTATTCCAGTTTTAAGTTATCCAGTTCATACTTCAAAAGAAAAAAATAAACAAATATTAATATTCATTTTGTATATGTTTGATATTATGAAAGGATTGTTTAAATAAAATTGAATAAATCGTTCATAAATTGACTTGAGAATGTTCGTGATTCAGTCAATTAAAATTTTGAATAAAGTATTTTATTTGTTTATATTTTTGAAAACATTTTGTATGCTTTTTTTACTATAGTCTGTCATTGATAAAGTGTGTATCTAGAAAGACATGTTTGGAATAAATTGGAAACGCAGATTTCCGAACGTGAGGAAAGTATGAATAGGATAATTGCGTAAACTACAAAAAACAAACTTAACATATAAAACTACTCGAAGTGTTATTTTAAATAACATTAATTACATAAGTCTAGTACCAGATGTAAATGTTAATAACAGTTTTATAAATATTACAACATGTTTCTTGTACACACTTGAGATTTAAATGTATTATTCATGTTATGTGAACTATATTAAGTTTTTTTCTTCTCAGCTACATTTTCAAACAAGTATGACATAATGTTGTAATTATTATACATTTATGTGTTTTATACATGTTTAATATTCAAAACCGTATAAATTTTCCTAAAATAATGTAATTCTAATTAAAATTTGTAATTATTTTAATAAAAAGTTAATGTACTGGTTTTAAGGTGTTAAATTTTCTTTTTCATATTTCGTCTCAATATTTATCTTACTTTCCATGTATTTAGTAATACCTTATGTTGATTATTAAGTTAACTAAACATATTTTAATTACACATTTTTTAATAAATATATTGATTAGATATTTTGGTAGTGAAATGAATGAGATTTATATAGAATTTCATAGTATTAGAGTTAGTTCACACTATGAGGCAAGGATCAAAGAACGATTGAAAATACAGGTATAAGACGGTTAACATATAAAGTATGAATCACCATTATTTGCGCGATTTCTTCATTATTCAAAGCTACGAAACATATAATTACAAATATTGCAATTAGTATAAAATTCAGAGTATATCGTAATCAAGTCTCAGTTCTATTCAATGTTTATTTATATTAAGATGATCCATTTCGAGCAATTTGGAAACCAAATGATTCTAGTAAATAAAATAATCAGTGATGTTTAATGAAAAATGAGCAATGAATTATTTTTAGATTAAATACAATAAAATAATCTATGAAATTATTAATAATAATTCCATTTACTTCAGAAAAAAAATCGTATTATTGCAATTTAATGCAAGATGAAACAATTATTCGTTATACAATGAACAAAGCGAATGTGGGACGAATTATTCAATATAATTTCGTCTTTGTTTTCAGTCGAGCTCGAAGGTCGACAACTCACCGAATCACAACGTTTGTTTTTGTTATTGCCACCGAGATTGGACCCGGTCCAGGAAGCAAACACAAAACAAAAACCAAAATAAAACTGGGATAAAAGGAAAAAACAATGATATATTACATTTTCATCAATTTTATTCAACCATTTCATTCCCATCAATTAAATTCAGGAAACGCTAACATTATGAGTTTATATGTAAAAAAAATAATATATAAACGTAATCATAATAATTATAAAATGCGAAAATAAGTAATAACAATAATTAATATTAATAACACAGAGAAAAATGTTATTCTATATTCCCCTCTCATGCATCAATACACGCTCCACCTCTGCATGCATTTCCACGTACATTGCTTGTACGTACGTAACCTTCGCGTCTCGTGATATTTTTATACATATCCAATCCAGTTTATTGCGCCTCGAACAAATATTAGCAACAATGAAGGAGATATGGAAACAACAAGAAACAAAAAAATGAAACTGAACTAAACGCTCGTGCGTAAGAAGAAGAATAATCTGCAAACGATTTAAGCAATTAAAATTCAAGTATATGCAACGTTCATCTCCGAAGATACATTTTTATTACGTTTTTTTTTACTGAGAGGGTATTTATGTATTTTTTTTGTTTTGTTTTTGAGTCTTTTTTTTGTTGTTGTTGCAGTAGGAAACCTCACGGCTGTGCTGTGCTCATTGTTTCGCCTTCAGATCTAATTTCTTGTTGTTCTCGGTGTTCATCAATTTGGTGACGATCTTTCTGGAGTGTCCGCTGGGGTCGAAGTGGTTCGTGTGCTCGCTGACCTCCTTCTTAGATCTCTGCTTACCACTGTGACCGGAGAACATGTGTTTGTCGTAGTCGAAGGTGTACATGTCGTATTTGTCAACTGCGGACATTTTCACGGGATAATTGGAACTGTTTATGGATTGAATTCGAACTGAATTGCACTTGGTTACGGTGTTGTCGAGATGACTTGGTTTGTCGGTCGATGGCTGTCGTTTTTATACGTGCGTCGGAGCGGGGAGGATTTTTAGCAGGATTTTCGTTGCTGTCATGCGCGCAGGATTTGTGTGTCTCCCCACTGCGATCGTCCTGGTAACTAACTATATCTGCCGGCTGGGCAACAACAACATCAACAACACACTTGCGTTCTATTCGATTTTTCTCACAGCACTGTCAGAACCTTTCATGTTTTTTTATTTGTTTATTTATAACATGGCACACTTTAATATTCCATCGATAAACCCACCGTATTTCACTCATATCTAAATTATTTGTGTTTAATTTATAGTTCTACACTCATAGTAGAATAATATTAAAAAAAAAATCAGTAAACAATAATTGTAATCGAATGGTTCCATATCAAGTTTTTAATTAAATTACCCAATTTTGTGACATCAACCATAAACAGGTTAAAATATTTCAAAACAATCAAATATTCTCGAATTGATTAGTCATAAAATTCCGTGAAAATATTTATTTAAAAAATATATCTATAACATCATTGTTTATATTTCATGAAATAATGTGTCATAAATTTAACATATGACTAACTATAAAAGATTCAAATTATTAAGTACTCCTATAAAAAATAGATTTGTCTTCATTTTACTTTTATATCTTGCAGCTGCATTCATATTTTTTTAAGTACTAATCTTCTAATATTACTCAACTTCAATAAAAAAAAATCAGTTGAAAACGAGATATTGAACAATACGAGATATTTATGCAAGTAATAGAATGAAGTGATAAACTTTATTTTAATATTTACTTATGTCAAATTATAAAAGCGACATCTTCAACTTATTTTATCACTTCAATGTATTTTTTTTAATAATCTGCTTAATTTCAATTATTTCATTAATTTCTGAGTGCCCCAAAGTTTTTCAGGTCGTATCAAAAATTGCACAACTATACACAACAGTTAAATTCATAAAAATTCACGGTCGATCTTTGCTTCGTCCTTGCTGCAATTATCCTGACTGATATATATTTTAGACTCCAGTGTACGTGACAATATACACACTCGCAAAAGATGTATGCGCATTCTGTATACAGTGGAAACTCGCTTAACGAGCATCTCGCTTAACGTCATCTTTGTTAATAGCGGACTATACTTTGCAATTATAATGTGTGTTTGTTCTAAAAGCAAAACAAAAATGTGTTGAGTCCAACCACTATTATATTATAAAAACAAACTATGTACTCTTCTTTATATAAACAAATATAAAACGTAAAAAGAGACCTCCACAATGACCGGATCAATGCAAGTAATAGAAATAATGGAATTAGGCGTAAATTCACTTCAATTAATGGGAAAACAGTTCCTGGTGTTAGTAGTCATTCTAGTTTCATCTTAGTGTTGTTTGTGATCACTCATATTTTCAAGCTTGTGTTCGGACATTTTTGTTATTACACAATATCGTAAGTTTTAGATATAAAAAATTACAAAAAAGGAAAGAAATATAAAAGATCTATAAGTTATTTGGTTTTTGTATACAATTACTAAATAACTTGTTTCAATCAGGTATAATTAAAAATATGAATGAATAATTACTGACAAATTTATTTGAAACATAATATTGTGCAATTATTAATTAAATTAAAACATTAATTTTGCTTGGTTAATTATTTTATTGTAATATTGAATTAACAGTCAGCTATTTAATGAAGATCTTAATTCCAAAGAGTTATTTACACCGTTACATTTTAATATAGATAAATCTTTCTTTACGGTTTCTTGTTGCAAGAATCTATTTTATGATAAACTGTTGTTATATTAATGTGCATTTATTTGATTATTAAATATAGTTATTACTCATAACAGAAATATTACAAGATATATATTTTTCAGAGTAAAAGTAAAGATATACAAACATTTACAGATATATATTGATCACATAACATGATCAGTAAATTTACAATAAAACTAACATCTATTCAAAATTTAGCTTTTGCAATAATATTTATTATAACAAATTTTAAATGTATTTTTTATTTCTTGAAAAGTTAGCAAAAATTACAAGTAGTAGACATAATTACCAGTTAAAATTCTATTTTAATCTGTATATGTTGAAATGCTATACTAAGCAAAACCGAAAACCAATGAAAAACAAGTAATAACAGCTCATCGAAAACGTTAAAAAAAAATGCTCATTATAAAAATGAAATAACAACTTTATCATTGACGTCTAAAATAAAAGACTGGACATTTTAGTAAATATATATATGTTAAACAAAGAATTTACATTATTATTTTGTATAGTTAAATATTATCACTTGTTCGTATTGTATTAAATTTTTTGTTATTAATAAAATTGAAACATATTTTTTTTTAATATATTTATTTGTATATACAAAATGTGTTATTGTCATCAAATTATTGTAACGTAATTATTATATACGATATAGATCAAAGCAACAAAATATAAAATTGCACAACATCCAACAAAATTAAATCATTCATTTGCAATAATTATGTAAAAGTAATATTGTCCATATCAATTTCTGGATTATTTGATTACGTACTACGGATGGGTCAAAATGACTCACCTGCTATTTGGTTTCATTTGCACTCTATTGTAATTTAATTGTGGGGTTGACCTTCTAGCTATTCTAGTATTTTATAGTGCATTTTTCAGTAGGAGCAAAGCAGTCGCGGCGAGAGGTACTTATTTAATTGTAGAATGTATTTCGGGTTAAAGTGACCCATCTATAGCAAATACGTTCTTGAAATATCATCAATATTTTTTTTATGTCGTATAATTTTATTCATAATCTGTTCATCAATGTGATCATTGAGTAAATTTAAGATCGCGGTTGACATTATCAATATTTGGATTTCAAAGTGGAATAACTTTAGTTTCCTATGTACCAAAACATGGAAAATAAGTAATTCTGATATCCAGAATCCTCTCCATGTCTTGTTTATCAAAGAATACTCTTTGAATAAACAAGACATGCGTCGTGTGAACGATCTAACGTGCATCTAAAAAAATCCCTGAATCTTAGAATTCTGATTGCAAATAGCATGCATGTTGAAATGGCTGTTTAAACAAAACATATTGAACGGATTCCTACATAGAGAAGGAACATGTGTTTTTTTGTTCAAGCAAATAAGAAAACAGCAACGTTTTGTGACATATGTAATACTTGCTCAAAAGAAAAAATCCCAGACTGTTTGGAGTAATTAAATCAGTTTATTAACTAATAAGAATTAATATGTCTTTAATGAAAAAATCAATAATTTGTTCTATTTTTTATATGTTCATAATAGTTTCGGATCTTATGCTTTTGTAGTTTTTGCAAAATTGATATTGCTTTTTTATGAGAAAATGAATATAGATAAATAAAGTTAAAGTTTTAGTTTTATAGATATTTAATTTATTTTTTGTTTTTAATTACTATATAGCGATAAATATTTGTAAATTATCATGCGTGCTTTCTAAGAAGTGTATGAATCTTGTATTTCTGGGGTATTTAGAAGGTTAAATCCTTGTGCCCGTTTGAAACTAAGTAAAGAGGAAGAGTATAGTATAAAACATTTCAACGTAATTTAATTGCTACTATTTGTGGCAGGGCCATTACATCGGTAGTTGCAATATGTTAACTGATACAATAAATAAACTATACTCTACTTACGAGGATAAAGAAACAATTTTGTAGTACCAAATAGTAAAAAATACTAAATTTAAAATATATATATTAGAATACAGATGAACCTTGGTGTTCAACGCTTCCGGAATGCATAAAATTGTTATTGATATTTTTTTACTGAGAGAATCCAAAGAATATCAGTGTAATACTTTTCAAGATTTGTCACTTTATCACTGAAATTATTATGAAATTTATTTTTTCATTTTTTTTCAAGTTAGAAAATACGTAAAAGTCAATTAATTTAATCGTCCAATAATACTGCCTGGTCATTGTTTTTCCAATTTTACATTTAAAAAGAACAATAAAAACGGTAATTATAATACTTCTATTTATGGTTTATCATGGTAGAAATATGTATATATATTTATATCATGATTATGGCTCCATTTTTTCCAACCTTTTACTGCTTATTACTTTTTTGGAATGAGATTCAAACACAGTGGAACATCGGTATTCTACGGTTCTGAAACTCGTGAAATTTGGTAGACGATATTTGTTTCTGAGTGAATTCTACGAATATGAATATGAGTATGAGTGTAATACTTTACAAGATCTGTCTTATTATCACTGCAATAATTATCAAAAATATTAAAATATGTGCTATCTTCAATATTATAAATAAATTTATTTCTACTTAACCATTTTTTCAAGTTATAATGTACGTAAAAGCCAATTAATGTAATCGTCCAATAATACTGCCTGGTCATTGTTTTTCCAATTTTACATTTAAAAAATAAAATAAAAACGGTAATTATAACACTGTTTTTTATGCTTTATCATGGTAGAAAAATGTGTTTATATTTGTATCATGATTATGGCTCTATTACTTCCACCCTTTCACTGCTTATTACATTTTTGGTCTGAGATTCGAACGTATTGGAACCTCGGTATTCGAAAGTTCTGAAACTCATAAAATTTGGTACTGGACATGTTTCTTTATAAATATAATGAATATCAGTCTAATACTTTTCGAGATCTGTCATTTTAACACTGAAATAATTATGAAAAATATTAAAATATACCCTAACTTTAATATTACAAATAAATTTATTTTTATCATGGTAGAGATATGTGTCTATATTTGTATCATGATTATGGCTCTATTACTTCCACCCTTTTACTGCGTATTACATATTGGTCTGATTCGAACGTATTGGAACCTCGGTATTCGAAAGTTCTGAAACTCGTGAAATTCGGTACTGAGTGAATCTAACTAATATTTGTATAATACTTTTCAAGATCTGTATTTTATCACTGCAATAATTATCTAAAATATTCACAAACTTCAATATTAGACATAAATTTATTTCTACGTAACCACTTTTTCACGTTATAAAATACGTAAAAATGAATTAATGTAGTCGAAATTTATTAATTTTATAATTTTACATTACAAAAATATAACTATAATACTTCTCTTTCTGCTTTATCATGGTAGAAATATGTATGTATATTTGTATCATGATTAAGGCTCTATTTCTTCCACCCTTTGCTCCTTATCAAACAACATAACGCAATAGATTTTTATAGGTTTGAGATTCTAAGTCATCCTTTCATATCGAATTATTATCAAGAGTTTATCCTGTATATTTCTACAACTGCCTCCAAAATAATTAATATTTGTATAGTTTAATTCTTACAAAAAATACATGTTTTTTTCATGAAATTTAATTTTAATGGTAGTTGTCAATTATTTAATCTTGTAATTTTATCTTTATACCTAGTGTTAAAATTATTGTAAATCTTTGACACGTATTACAACTCTCTGGACAAGACTTAACAAACTATCATAGAGTGACAAGTTGCTTAAGTTTCGTAAGACATTGATAAACTTCAAATGTTTGCAAGAAATACAATTTCAGAAGATATATAATATACATGAATTATTGTGGACATGCAGAAAATAATATTTATGTAATGTATATACATGACAGAAATGGAGTAGCTTCAGAAGATTATAAATCAGGTGAAATTTGATAACTTTGTTTCTTACGTAAATAAATTAAATGTTGCGTACAGAAATACAGTACATCAAAACAAATATAAACTACGCAGCATGCACGAAATAAGGTAATCTTATCTAACAAAAAAAAAACTACAGTTGGCCGATATACTTGGACAGGTGAAAACGACGCAATATCTTGAACATTCTGTGAGAGCCACAACAACAAACATATCGCTATTTATTTACTTTTCTGCTACAATTTTTCTTTCATATGCAATTTTCAAGACCTTGAACGATGCTCAGAACATTACTGATTTGATAATGAAAATGTTACGAAACGATTTTCGTGCACTCTGGAACGTTCTCACGCCAGTTCAGCACAATCTAATCGGACATGGCATGGCGCATACGAATTATAATTTCCTTAAAAAAAAACAAAATATTTATTATTTTCATGACCATCGTATTTTTAAAATGAACTACAACAAAAAAAATAACAGCAAGGTGAGTCATGGTTTTAAGTAGAATTTATGCAAAAGTAAAAAAGACACGTGCGGTCGTGTTATTTCACCTCGCACAAATGGAAACGTTGAAAAGAAAACTTTAATGTGGCGCTAAATTAAATGTAATTACAATTGTTATTACAGTTTTTTAGAGCTCATTAAACTATTGCGACGTTTGTTTGTTAAGGTACAAATATGTTTAATACAATTTTCATTAACCTTAGTAAATTAAAATTTATCCGAAACATTTTATTTTATTAAATATATTAATTTGAATATTTTAGTATTAAGCCTATATTCTAAATGCAAGTTATATTCACTTATTTAAGTTTGTTCAGTTAAACACAATTTGACATCAAGATATATTTCAACTAAAGGTATATTTATTGAAACTCGTGCAGTTTGGGTCGATATTTCAAACCTATTTATAGGAGGTGACTAATGTTATTTTAGTTGCGCACTAACTAGCCAGTATTAACTTATCAATATTAAATGTATAGATAATTATCACTTTGAGAATTTACGAATGAACATTATCACAACATATATCCATTTTTTAAATTTATTCAAAAATATTTTCAAGCGTTTATTGTGATTTAACAAAATAGTAATATAAACGAATTAATTTATAAAAGTTAAAATTACGGATTTTTTACAATAATCATTAAGTAAAAAGTATTTTAGCTTTTATTGTATGACGAAAAATAAATTCTCAGTTTACGAAATCTCCATTTTACAATATTTTAATAGTATAAAATTATTCGATAAAAATAAGAATTATAAAGTTTTGATAATGATCGTCCTCTAACTAAGTTATTTGAGCTTTGATATTGGAATTAAAGAAATTAAGTTCTCATTTTACGAAGTTTTGTTTTACGATTTCTCAGCATTGATGTTGATATTGCAGTTAAGGAAAGTAAGTTTTCGCTTTACAAATTCCCAATTTACGAAATAATAATGTTCATTATGATAATTTATAAACGTGTGAATTACTGATTTTTATAAATGTATCAACATTTTCCAAGTTTTCTTAGCATTCACAAACATTCTGATTAAGAAAATACGTTATCACTTTATGAATTCCCGAATATATTGGAATTAATTAATTTGTAAATGTTGAAATTATTCATTTTTAGGTTAATTGAACAAATATTTGTATAATTTATGTGATAATGTGATTCAAGAATATCGTTTACTTTACGAATTCTCGTTTAACAAAATTATATTAGCAACGAAAACAATAGAAATGTTTGATTTATTAATTGTCCAAAATATACGTTCATTGAACAAGTTTTTTTTTTGTCTCAGAAATATTCTGGTTAGTTAGTTTTACGAATAATATTTGCAAATAATTAATTTATAATCAATAATCAAAAACATTCTGATTAAGTTATATAAGTTTTCATTTTACGAATTCTCATTTTAAGTAATATTAGCAACGAATTAATTATATAAAAATATAAATATGTATCCACTGAACAAGTTTTTTAGGGCTCAAGTAGACATTCTATTAAGGAAAACATGCTTTAATAATTGCACTTAATTTGAATGTTTTAAACTGAACATTTACTAACAAACAATAGAGACAGATCAGAAAAAAAAAACAAGAAATAGGAACATTTAAAAATTTCTACGAAATTTCTAATATAATTAATATTATTTACTAGAAATAGGTAACAATTATTAAAAAAAAAAGATATACACTAACTTGCAATTAATAAATTTACTACATTTCCTTCCATACGTTTTAAACTTGCTGTTTATTTAATTCTGTTGTGTGGTATCTCCTTATTTATTTATATTTTTTTACAAATAATATTGCTTTCTATTCGTTCACATTCGTTCCTTTCTATCAGCATTTGTATTGAAGGTCAAAGTCAAGGAAGGGGAAAATATCAACGACCCCAATAGATGTTACGAGTGCATTATTCTGGTCGTCACAAGTTATATTTTTAACATTATTAGAATTTTCTATCATGTGAAAATCGCTTTAGATATTAAAATAATTTAACCAATTCACCGCCATTATTGTCCTATCTTAGCATAACATGATCTCGTTCATGGAATGAGTTCGGTCAATGACATTGTTGAATCGCAATGTGTTAGGCAATATCATATGAAACAGGTAAGTATATTGATCTTTTTTATTGAAATTCAATATTCCAATTTAAATTAATACCGTGTGGATGGGCAAAATATTCGACACTATATAATATATAAAATATAAGATGTAATTCAAAAAAATATTGTAACAGTCCCACATAAACAAATTAGAAAATAAAAACAATTAACTGTATATTAAAGAGTTATTGACCCCTAAAAAATATTATTAATCTTTTTTTTGTACAAAAAAATGATGTGAAATTGATACAACGGTATGAATTTAATCTCTACTATAATTTATAATATTAAATGCTTTCCCTATAGAGATTGGTAGAGAATAGCTTTTCTCATAAATGAGAAATGCACTTATTAAAAATACATAATAATTTGTTTAACTAGATATAAAAAAAATAACGGTAATTAGTTGATTGTTTTATCGAATTCACAGTTAAATATAAGAAAGTTATCTTTGTGTAGAAGTATAGACTAAAAAAAAATATATGTTTCTGATAACAGTTATACATCTTTTAAGGTAAATGAACTTTTGGTTAATAACGAAACACGTTCCATATTGTTCTCATAAATATAAGTATATTTTTCTATTTGAAAAGATTGCATAGAATATTTAAAAGAAATTAATGATGAAAATTGATAAGTTGTTAAATATACCTTTTTTTAATTAGAATTTTCAATTTTTTGTTATGGTATATAACCTGAAAACCTTATGGAAATTTATTATCCGAAAGTATACAAATTCATATCAAAGAAAACGCCGCGACTTTATGCGATTTAATTGATATGAAAATTTTAAAAGTACTTGACAAGTACTGTTATTTACTTTTTAAAGTCATCATCAACATTCTTGAAGAAATATTATACATGTATAACTTTATACATATTGGCTTAACTTACCAATTAAACCACAAATTACTTGGTAAATTAAATACAATTATAAAGATAATTATAAAAGAAAATAACTATGAATATTCTAGTTACTTACTGTCCAATTTGGGCACAAGGTGGTCCATCTGCACAAACTGCGGCCTTGGAAAAGGTGTGCAAGGAAGATACTGAAGGTCGCATTGGCATCGTCGGATTCGCAGGAGAAGTTGTCGTCGTCTCGTTTTCCGATCCCAAAACTCCCGTTAGATATAATATTACTATGACTATTATCACTAAAATCACGGCCACAACTGGTAACACTACTGATTTTTTTAGTCTAGGTCTGAAAAAGAAATAAAAAAAATTAATATCCAATGTATAAAGGTAATTTTCATCATCAACATTCTTGGAGACATGAGGTTAAGCCACTCATTTAATGATAGAGGCAGTATATGCACGAAAGGTTAATGCTCCTAAATACACCTTTCGAAAGATGAATAATAGGCCAAGTACCCAATGTACTTTAATTGTATACCTTCAAGAGGATGTTCAACACGAGTGCATTTATTAACTTAATAGAAAATAGATGTTATATCAAATAAAAAGTGAGTGTCAATATCAATTTTTTATTTGACATTTTAATGTATATAATTATTTTTGTAATTACATAATTGATGCAATAAGGATTGTTATTATAAAAAAGTAATTAAATAATGAGTACGCAAATTTATTGAATGATATTGCTTTATAAAATATTAGATACATTTACTTAATGGTGATTAAACTGAGAATTTTCCACTTATAATCAGGTCATCGCACTTGAATATTAGAAAACAACAAAGGAAAAATTATATTTACAAAATACCACGTAGTGCGGATAAAGACTTTCATAAATGAGACGAACAAGTATTAATATCATCATTTATATGGAACTTTTAATTAAACCGTTTAGGGAAGTTAAGTCTTTCAATGGAATCCAATCTGATTACAATGCAAATTTATATGATATTGAATTTGAGCTGGGTTTTTGTAATTTGTGAATATCGCGCGGAGATTAAGCAAAGTTAAATTAGTTGCTCATTGCATAATGCGTTAGTTGTTGCTTTACATTAAACTTGAAATTTTGTTATAATCAGATTACTTCAGCTGGCTTAATCTCATAGTCTCATTAATTAGGTACAAAATTACCTTTTATTAAAATATGTTCTTAATGAAAACTGAAATTCGGATGTGTACTTTTTTGATATATGCAACTTTGTTAACAAGTGATATAAGTTATAAACTTATATTTCAATGTATATGTATATATGTATGTTTATATTGATGGAAGTTTGACAAGTAATAGATATATTGCTTATAAAGTACACGATACTTAACAATTTATATATGTATCTTGATTTCATTTATTTTTACTAACTGAATTAAAATTAATTTTAAATTACACTCAAATACTAATTCTGATAAGGTTTATACATTTATTTTGTTTAACTATCTAATTTTTATCAATAGAATATATAACAGTTAATTTTGTTTTTTTTAATTTGATTTATGACTGTTTCTAAATACTAACTAATTTTCATGTTTAAAAATTAACAATTGTTTTCATATATGCTAACGAATATTTAAGACCATTATAGATAACCTGATTTATAGTATGAGTTATAATGAATAAAAAACAACATATTTTTGCTTTCCACACTAACCATGAAGTAAGCCATGATATAATTATAAGTATTATATAATGCTAAGACATGTTACTCTAATAAATTATCTGTATTTTACTAAATTTTCATTCACTATCTTTAGACAGAAAAGGCTTAACTGTAAGTGGATAAACATCAATTTAAAAATAAAATAAGCAAGCAATATGTCTTCATGAATTCTATGGTTCCAAAGGAAATAGGAAATCCTAGCTATCTTTTACAACAGATATTTTCTTTTCTTCAACCGCAATAAATCTCCCTTGACGTAGGAGCACTTCATCTGTTTCCCGTTCAGTTTACTTGCTGACAAGGTATATAATATGTGTCTAAATGTAACGTCTTCATAATCAAATATTATTTTAAACCCTTATATAATTTATTTAAAAAATATTAAAAACCTCAAATGTGCTTAAAAATTACGATGATGTAAAGTGTAAGTAAAAATGTCAATAATTAAAATTTATTTTGATATTTTTATGTGCGTCTCACATTTATCAGAATGCAACTTTATTGTTTTCTTCTTTTTGTATGATTTATGTATGGAAATTTGTATGTTTAATTGTATCTCTGCATGGAAAGACTTAGGTATTGTGACTAATAAATACAGGTGTCCCCCGACTTATGAACAAAATTCTAAAAGCTCTAACTTGTTACAACGAGATATATAGTGATAAAAAATTAACTGTCTATACAAAAATTGATAATTTCTTTAATATTATATAATATTTTTGGAAGATATACTATCTGTTTTGTTTCATTTGTTTCTTTTGTCGTTTTTTTATTAAATAATTGTGATGTCTACATTGAAAAGTATTTGTAAGTCAAACGGAATTTAACATATATAAAAGTAAAAACCATGATAATGTGTGGTAAGACAAGTATATTTTGAATTTTTTAAAATTCCCCCGACTTACGAACAACCCTTTGGAACAAAACTAGTTCGTAAGTTGGAGGATACCTGTATATTATTTGAAATTTTACAAATTTAACATCGATCCAGTTATCATCAAAAGTTAATTCAATATTTTCATTTTAATATTAATTAATTTTCATAATATTAATAAAATAGTTTTTGGGCGGAAAGACTTGGTGTCGATAGCCCTTTGGTAACAATTGTGACTAATAAAGATTATTATTATAGTTTCTTTAATTCGGTAAAATATTTGATTATATATATTCGTTAGGCCTTTGGCCAGCTTATTAGTATATATATTTTTATTGTATGTTAAAATTTATTTATGTATAAATTGTACTTTTTTTCTCTTCTTCTTATGTATCGATGTTTGGCCAATAAATTATTATTATTATTATTTGATTATATTTTATTTTTTCATTATAATTAAGAATGTATTGTTTAATTAATGAAATTAATTTAAAGTTGAATACATTTATTTCAATTAGTATAAATAGATAGGAAATGTAATATCATATTATGCAATATATGTATGCTGCAATAATACAGATTTATTTGAATTTTAGTGTATATTTGGTTGCCTACAGCATAGTTACGTGCTGTAGGAAATACGCAGAAAAATTTAAAATATCTGGGTATTTCTTAATGAATCAAAGGACATTAATTTAACAATTGGATGAAAATAGAACATAGTTCAATTATTTAATATATATATTAATAAATTGAAAAATACTTCAAAGTTTGCATATATAACAAAAAAGTATTGATATAAAATATAAATACATCTATCCCTCGTGTTACACGGTCAAAAAATAATTATTGAAAATAACCAATCCTATGCGTTTTTTTGCTATATTTCGATTTACACGTTTTTCTCAGGAACCGTGTAAATCGGGGGATAGGTTTATATTAACTTATATATTTAGCCATTTATTGCAAAATTTTGGATTGCATATAAAGTAATGCTGTTGTGCATTTTAATGTCAATAATACTAATAAAAAATATCCTATTGAACATAGACTTTGCTACAGTTTAAACTTATTATGTTTTAAAACTAGATTATATTTCTAAGTATAAAGTGAAAACTATTATTTATAATTAAATAAAATTACAACTTAATGTTACGAGAACACAATAATAAGTACCGTAATTCTCCAAGTATATGACGTTCCCATGTATTAGACGCACATTATTTTTTGGGCCCGAAATTTGAAAACAAAAGTATCTCTTCATAAGACTTACTAAGTTTTTAATCATTTTTTTTTTCTGAAAAAACTGTATAATCCTTTAAACTTATTGTATTCAATATTCAATTAAATGTTAAAATGTTCTAGAAATAAAAAAAATCGTTTGTATTTATTGTTGTAATCTTTCCAAGTTAAATACATTTATTTGGTAAAAATTGCTTTGAAATTTGTTTTAATGTCGCCATCTGTGGTATTGCGTATCAACTAAAACGGTATCGATCTCTTCACTATTCCCTCTTGGGATTTGTTTGTGTGCATAGAACTTAAAATTTAACAAGAACTTTAATATATCTACAACCAACAAAGAAAAAGGTCCTTACATATTGCTAAAAGTTCGATTGTCTTGCCTCGTCCTTTCCGTACCATTGACAATAAGCGTTTGCTCATTTCTAACCTCCACGAACCGTTTCCGCTTTAGCAATGTCGTGTGGGGCTGGTGGTTCGTCTGCACAAGGTTCCTAAAGTCGACCATCGTTCGCTATTTGCATACTTCATGTGTTGCTGGAATTTCGCGGATCGCCAAAATATAATAAAGAAAATAACACCGAACACACTGCACAATTTCGTACGTCCGTCGGACGTTTCTATCTATGACATGTGAAATTTCAGTTTTGAAATTGCGCTCGGATCGATAAAACCACGTCACTTGTTTGAACGTGGGTGGTGGATGCAACCACCAGCGACTCTAAAACTGTTACTCTCTCCTAAGGGATGTCAACAGATATACAATACTATTTTTTTAATGCGTTTAGTCTCTTATTATATTCACAGTTGTCATGGCATAAATGTACACATTTATTATTGGTATCGCGATGTAGAATAATATGATAAACATTTGAAAGAAAATCTTAGATTATATATAGTTTCAAAAGCAACTGGCAATACTCATTATATTGGTATCGTTTACATTGATAACTAAATAACGTAACATATTTGACAGGCTTTGTGTTTCGAATAAGTTGGAATTTGAAGACCAAAAATATTTTTTAAGAAAAATAATATAGTTACCGCTACAATTTCAAAATGGAAAATTTTAACCCAAATACAAAGAAGAGATGCCAAATCGATGTGATTTACTAATGAAGAACGTCGTGGTATCTATACAGTATATATAGAACAAAATAGTATATTAAAAAAAAATAATACCATGTATCCCGTCTGACCGTAAGTAAAATCTGGCATACAGCACAAGCTCAATACAGAGAAGGAAAATTGTATCTTCTAAAGAGAACAAAATATACGGAAGAAAACGAAAAAAATATTCTGCCAATTTGGCTGAAATAAAGAATATACCGTTAAATCGTCTATGAACGATTCGTTGTCCTTCTTTCGCAATTGATATTGAAAAAACAACACTTTTTGATATCTTTATACGACGAAAGTATGAATCCCTTTGTAGCAAATCATTTTGATTTCAATTTTCTTATTGTGTTATTATTATTTTTAAAATGAATTTAATATTTTTTTATATTTAATTTT